ATTCAATTGCTCGCATAAATGTATGTCTTTCTGAACGCTTGATATTTAGCCTAGGAAATACAGTTTAACGAATAAACAAGCAATCAAATTTGATGCGCTCAAATAAAAGATTTTCTTTATTCAAGTCAAAATAGAACATTTGATACAAGTATGTATATTGTATATGGATTTATTTAATTATTCATATTTTTAGAGTTTAGATATTCTTTGATCACACACATAGTATTACGGCAATCCTCAAGCTCTTTCAAAAATTCACTTGACTTTGTGTCATACTTCCGTTGCATTTCCTCTGCACGTATTAAATGCACATTACGATCAGACGTTGTAAAGGACAAGTCCGCGGCTAAAATGGCATATACGGAAAAAAGGTGTTGCGAAATAACGTTAAAAAAGCTGAAAAATATACATTAGATATTGTAATACCAATGATCTCGATCCTCTTGAGTACTGCGAATTCTTTACCATATCCGCTCATACTGATGAAATAATTATATAAAAAAGGTATATGAAATTTGAAACTACTTTAGGTCGGATCAATTAGAACCTTTCATTTGGAAGTGATGAACTGAAGTAACGAAAACACCCAGACTATAAATTGCCATATTTCTGTGTCTTTGAAGCAGAGAAATTGATGATCAAATAAAAAAGTGCTTATCTGTCAACTACCATCAATATATACAAACTGCTGACTTTTTTTCCACAATGACCGTTTGTCTCAAATCAAATAATAAACACTTGGAAAACTTTTTTTTAAATATTTAATCAAGTCGTGGCTATTTAGCATAAATAAGTAAACATTGATTTGAACTGTTATCAGAAAATTAACGTCGTATATCACTTCCAATATATCTCCAAACTTCGATCATGTGAGATGTTTTTTTCTAATGAGATCAACTCGAAAGTTGTATATTATGCGGATGACTTTTTCTGAATGTTTTGTCATCAACTATAGTATATCTATATTCACGGAATTTAAATGGTTGTGCATTAAGTGTTGCGAATCAATCTGCACACAGCTTGAAGATCACATCTGGAAAACACTCAGTTTCAGTAATTTCCCATAGTTTTCATTTCTTTCATTTCATCCAAATTTTAATGGTCTAATATACCAAATCGAATTGATGATTATAATGCATACTAACAATGCTATCATCTACAATTCTGTTTCGCTTTCATATGCAAAATAGGTCGTTGATTTTCATCTAAAATAATCGAAATTTTGCAGGTTTTTATGGGCATTTTGTTTGAAATAGTTGCAAAGCGATGGCACAGGCATAATAAAAATGAATTAATAATTTTGTCTTTGCAATTTTTTTTTTGGTAATGCACTGTGTATATAAATTCAAAATAAGTAAACAAAAATTGAAAAAAGAAGTTCTATCACGATCGCAATCGAATGTTCATGTTTAATTTCTTAGAATTTAATCAGCGTTCGCCGTGTTTTATAATTTCTCCTTTTCATTTTGTTGCTTTTGCATTTTAAAGTCATATACACAGTGTCTGATGATGAGACATAATTGTCTGAATGGAATAAACAACCAAAAACTGCATTTTCAGCTCATTCATATTCGAAACCAAATTTATTTGAATTAAAACCTCAATCGAATTAAACTTCGGCGGATCAGCTCTGACTCTTAATCGAACTTATACATTCAGTTTGAAAAAATTGTAACTTTTTTCTTCAAAAATTGTTTTTCATTTCGTTCTTACTATAGTACTTATTCAGTATTTCTTATATTATAAAAAATCTAGTTTTTCATCGTATAAAATGGGTTGCCGTTTTTCAAAATCGCTGAAACACTCACAAGCAAACATTGAAGAAGATAAGACGGAATCGAACGAAGTTTTGGCATTTGCTGCCATCGACTATAAATTACCAAACGCTGTAAAATCTGAAATACAAGCCGTAAAACAAGAAGTAAATGGGAGGAATGGTCAACTCGCAAACATAAAACAAACAGCGGACATTTTCAAACTGGATCTGGATTGCTTGGACGAATTATTCGAGTGGCTGTGTATCATGGACCTTCATTCATTTGGCCAAACATGTAAGCGAATGCAGCTTGCGGCCGGCCAATATTTTCAAAGAACATACCCGATCAAATTACTTCAGGCAAAAAGCGATGGAGTTTACTGTAAACATGGCGGTGAATGGTCACAGACAAATGGTTACCGAGAATTTGTCGAAAATATTTTGATCTCATCTGCTGGAGATGATGAAATTGGACCCTTTAAATACCTTCAATCACGATGTAACAAAAACTTGAAATGGATTTATTTTGATTCAGTGAGACTAACCGAAGAAAAAGTTGACTACATCAAGGAATCATTGAGCAAAGTCAAATCCATTTGGTTTAAGGGCGGCTCCATTGATGTTGAACTCTACGATGGTTTCCTCAAGCATTGTTCAAATTTGCGGCATCTCCGATTGCGGAGTGAAAAATTGTGTGAATCAAATGATTGGCTTCTTCAAAAATACCCAAAACTTGTGTCATTCACATTCAATTATGACAAAAGCATCAAAATTGATGATCTCAAAACATTCTTTCATCAAAATCCGACAATCACAATGATTGATATTGGTTCAGATGAATTTGAAAATAATTGGAAATTGTTTGCTGAAAGTGATTTAAAGTTGTACACATTAAATCTTTATATGAACGACAAAATCGCATTAAATAAGGACATCTTTGAATATTTGAATCGGCTTTACGCAGCAGGCCTTTACAAAAACCTTCATTTATTTGGTCATGCAGACTATGATGACATTTTTCCGTGTTTGGCATCGCTTCTGTCACCTATAAGCATGGACTTAACATATTTTCGAAATATCAACGCACAAAGCCTATCGTCTCTGGATATGTTGACAAGTCTGAGTGTTGATTACAGTAATGATTTCACTATTGACGAAATGGACATGTTGTCAAGAAAGCTTGTGAACCTTGAACGACTAAGATTTTTTTCTACCAGTCTTAAAGTAATTCTACTGTTCATTCGCCAATCACTGAAATTGCGAGAGATTTATACATCGAATCTTGACGAGAGCGATTATCGTGAAATGAATTTTATCGACTTGGCTGCTTTAAACAAAGAACGTATAAAATTGAAGAACGCACGGAAATTAGTGTTGGTCGTTGACAGCGAAACTTTTCTGGCAACAAAATTGGCGATCACCAAAATTGACTTTAGTTTGATTAAGCTCAAAAGAATATACTGAATGGTGCTCAGTGAATACAAAAATAAGCATATCGAGATTTAATTAAAAATATTGCCAATTTTCATCTTTGCACCAATCAATTTTTCCGATGTACTCATTTTTGTATTTATATTAATCAATTATCCTCTAATGCAATAGAAAAGAATAAATTGTCTCATTTTCTTATAACCGACTTTCATTCATTTGATTGAAAGAATTTCAGAATCAAGAATTTTTTAAAACTCAATTCAATTTTGTACTGTAAAATAAAGAAATATGTATCAACAATGTTAATTCAAACGTCTTTTACGTTCTGAAAATACTATCTGCGGTGTATGTGCCCAAATATTTAAACTTCGCCGGTTAATCGATTTGGAGAATTTTTTTATGCACAGATGTAAATGTTATGTCAGCATCTCCATGCAGAGCTGTAATTTTCACTCTGTCAGTGCACGCACACAGTAGTGTGCACACTCACATTCTATGTGCGTCGCACACAATGCTTGTATTTTGAAGGTGCACGCACACTTAGTCACAAGTTTGACATTTTTGGCGGTTGGCAAATTACAGCCTTGTCTCCATGTGTCTTTGAGTTACGTTTCTTTGTTTGCATCAAGAATTGTTTATTTTTCGATTTTCATAATGTCTAATTTTGTTGAGCAAAGATATTACATTAAATTTTGTGTACGAAATGAAATTTCGGCTGCGGAAACGACAAGGATGTTGCAAAAGGCATATGGCAACCAGGCACTATCAAAATCAAGAATATTCGAGTCGTATGAAATGTTCAAAGAGGGTTGAGAAAGTGTTGAAGACGAACAACATCCGAGACGAAAAACATCAACTGATGAGAAGCACGTTAAAAAATGAAGTCATCAGTGGTGCCAATGACTATTTTGATCGATTCATTCCTGAATATTATGAAGAAGGTATAAATATGTTGGAGAGTCGTTGGACTCAATGTATTGAATCGTAGGGTGATTATATTGAAGAATAAAAAGCAATTTTTTTTAAGAAAAAAATATATAGACTTTTTTTGTAGAATTTTTCAACGTCAGAGTAGCTTTATCTTTTCAACGGATTGTGAGATATGAAAACAACGACAGTCTGAACTTTGAAACATTTATATGATTCACCATATTTTGGAATTTATTACGGATTTATACATTGTTTTAATCATAAATTTGGATATTACGCTCTGATATGAACCTGCATTTTTCGAGAAATGAAAGAAAAAACAAATACAAAACAAAATTATACAATTTTTGAATCAATCGATATTAAATTGACCAAATGAATTATTGAATTTGATTGATAAATATCATTCTTATCATGTTCGAAGTTTCAAAATGACAGCGTTTGCCAGTTTAACAATATGATTAAAATCAGTCTTCAAATGAGCGCGCCAATGTTTGCATCGACTCCAAATAACGGCCGGAAAAACTGGACTTTGTACACCATGAAAAATTCGCGCCAAACTACGCCCAGTGAATTGATTTTCCGGATATCGTGAAATCATTGTATAAATATCGGAAATAATAATATCATCCATTGATGAATCGGCCACGGGTTCGGTTATTTGTTCAGTAAAGTCAATTTTCTCATTCGATTGGAAATATTTGCGAACGATCCTCTTCAATTGTTCAGAACGTTCGTTATTTGGTTCAACCGCTGAACAAGCCAATGCTGATTTTACCGCAACCGATGATAAACCATGAAATACATTTTCCAACTGAAACAGACAAAGAAACACATTAAATGGAAGAGAAAAAAAGAAAATTGTGTCAGTATTCTTACTTGGTTTACTTGATTGTTTTCTTGTTCTTTGACTCGTGAAAACAGCATATCGAGTGTTGAATCAAGCTCAGTTGGGCTAAGATCACCTGGAGCTGTAACTCGAAAACCGAGATCAGAAAACTCCACCGAAATATTTGACCGTCGAGAAACACCATTTTCTAAACGACAAATTTTTTTTTTATGAATTATCTTTGGATTGGGCGACCGATTGAAAGTACGTACCTGTTGACCATTCGAGTTGTTTAAGTTGATACTTAACCACACCGCTATTCCATCCGATTGCTGATGCAATTTCAATGACAGGAAATTCAATGAACGTTGACGTATCGTGTGAGATTCCTTTTCGTATATCCAATGCAATTGCCATCGCCAATGGAGGACATTTCAATGCTGCATTTCTGTTTAAAAAAAAAACACAGTTTTTCTAATTAATTTCTTTCAATTTTAAATCATTTTTTTTCTTCACTAACTTCAGCGCCTTGGGTCCACCATATGAAAGGACTTTACATCGAATGTATGCTTTGCTTAATGCTTTCACATATCGTTGATCATGTAATTCCAAGTAACACAGTAATGTTGAAATATTTTCTTCTGGTATATCCAATTCGTTGATGGTTTCATCCACAGAAAAGCAAATCTCATGACCAGGACAATCGCGTTGCTTTGTACTACCAGATGAACCCTCATTCACTTCATCATTCCAATTAATACCTTGGATCGCATCTATATCTGATTGTATCGCATCTTTAACATTTGATTTTACTGTTGTTTCTTCTGACTTTTTGCAAGCACATGGTTTGAAAATTTTATGTAGTAACTTCCGAATAATGTGACGATCAATTGAATTTGCATAGATGTGACGACGCAATTCAACTTTGTCTTCGCCCTGATCACAGATTTGAAGATTTAAAAAAAATTAAATCGTTTCAAGGAAAAAAAATTGCTTACTTTTGAATCTAAGAACAGATGACAATGTGCTGGTTTTCCATCTCGTCCGGCTCTTCCCACTTCTTGAACATAACTTTCAAAATTCATTGGCATATTGTAATGTATGACACATCGAATGTCCGCCTTATTAATTCCCATTCCGAAGGCAATTGTAGCAACGACAATTTTCAAATCGCCGCGCATAAATGCATTTTGAATTGTACGTCGCCTTGATGCGGCCATTCCAGCATGATATGGTTCAATAGTCGTTTTCAGTGTTCGTTTACGTTTTCCCGATGCATTTCGAAGCTCCAATTCTCGTGCAATGTTATCCTATTTGTTTATTGAAAGAAAACAACCAACATGTAAGAAGTGGACTCGCTGAAGGTCTATGTAATAACTCACTTGAAAATATGTTCTCAAATTCTTTGCAACTCGTTCACACTCATCACGACGTGAACAATAAATGATGATCGACTGAAATTCAACAAATCTCGGTTGTTTGAGCAATTGTACCAATGCATAATCGCGATTTTCATCGCTCGATATGCTTAGCGTTAAATTATCTGGTAACGGAATATCACTGATAACACCATCCAAACCATCTGGAATGCGCAAATGCTCAACGATGCTTAGCCTACACATTCACATTCAATTGCAATTAATAGCGGTTACGGAAAAAATGGGGCCAAATAAGAGGAGCAAATCGAAATACCTTGTTGTTAGTGTTGCTGTTGCCGTTAAACCCAATACTGTTTTTATTTTTAATTTTTCATATAGCACTCGACATACCATCAAATAACTGGGACGAAAATTATGACCGAATTGTGATACACAATGACATTCTGAAAATCAAAATAAATTCTATGACAAATTGAATTAAAATGATAAAATAAATATGCGATTACCATCAATACAGACAAACGCAACCGGTGGTAAGTGTCTTAAAATCGAACCAAATCCCGTTGATTTTTCACTTGAAACAACCGCCTCCGGTGAAATGAGTAAAACATCTACTTGGCCCGATTTAATCAATTCAATGGTTGTTGCACGTTTTTGTTCGCTCAGATTTGTGTGCAAACATTGAGCATTTAAAAAATGTGGAACACCTTGAACTTGATCTTCCATCAATGAGACCAATGGTGATATGACTAGTGTTATACATCGTTTACGTCGACTGTACATATAGGCTGGCAATTGATAACATAATGATTTTCCACTGCCCGTGCTCAACGTAACCAGCGTTGATTGGCCCGATAAAATTCGCATAACAGCCTTCTCTTGTCCGCTACGGAACTTCTTATGACCGAACAATGCCAACGCATCATACACTTCATCGGGAGTGTCTTTATTGGTGAACATTATTTTTATCAACGATTTTTGTTTGGTTTTTCATAGATAAACTCAAGAAATTGTAAAACTTACTACATGTACTTCCATCAGCGTTTAATTTATAAAGTGGTTCGACTTTTGTTTTATCTTCAGCAGCATCATTTCCAATCAAGCCGGCCTTAATTAAAAAGTCTTCTGGTATTTTATGACCGATATAGCTTTGGGTTGGCTGTTCTTCTGGATTGCTTTCGTCATTTTCAATATCAGATTGTGTCGGATCATCCGTTACTTCAGTTGTTGCATCTTCTGATTCATTTTTCCACGTGGGATTATTTATTTGAGGTAATTCACGATGTACATGCGCCAATTTAATTTGTTGATTCGACATTTCCTCCACCTCTTGCAGTGTTGGGAATGGTGAATCTTCTTCGACGGTTAATGGCAGCAAACGATCACCTAATTTCGAATGAAAATAACATGGTCAAAATCTATTGCCATTTGTTCAATTTTCGGTAAAATGTGAAAGTTTATTTTGACCGTTTTATTTTATTTCAGAAGAAAATTGGTTGAAAAAAGGCGTAACTACGCAAAATACTCACTTTTAGCTTTACAGTTTTGTGCAAAATGTCCGGGAAGGCCACATTGAAAACATGTTAAAATACCACCATCACAGCCACGCATATCCATTTCAGGACCACTCAATGCGGCCGCTTTCTGAGTCTTCCACAATTTTTTCTTATATTTACTGAAATTCATTGTCTTTTTACCACGTACAAACACTTTCTTCCGAAGATTCAATCGGACATAATTTTCATTCAATGAACCAGCTGCGATTTTCGTTGCAAGTTTATCTCTGGCGATCGCATTCTTCGTTGACAATGGTTTCGGTTTGCTTGAACCCGCTTTGTTTGTCGCTTCGTTAACATTCACATTGGCGTCGGCACTGTATACATATTTGGTGAATTCAATCGAATTCTTTTGCAATTCAGCGACTGGAATGCGCGGTACACTTTTAATAGTTTCCATACCGAACTCAGGAAGATAATCATCAGGTGTTTCTTGAATTGCTTCAGCCTCACTGTCGCTGCTATGGTGTACAGGTCTTGCTTGTTTCTTTTTCGATGCCACTCTGGTCTTACGCTCAACTTTTGCGCGTGGTTTAGCTACCGATGATTTGACACGTGAAATTCGAGTCTTTTGTGTTGTTTCCTTCTTTATCGTTGTTTCATTCTTAGTTTGTTTTTCATCATCATCTGAACTGTCTGTTAATATTTTGGTTTTTGATTTTGTCTCTTGTGCTTCGGAAAAGTTGGGATCTTTATCAGAATCATCTCCAGCAAATGGATCACTCTCCTCAGATTTTGAGTCGTCCATTTTTACTTCTTTATATGTGAATGATGGTTTATTTCTTGAACTCTTCCGTCTAACAATTGGAACTGTTGCATCTTTGCTTGCCACAACTGTTGGCTTCAATTGCTGCTCTAGCTTTGGTGTCGGCGCCACTTTTTTCATTGATTTTGTTCGCTTAACAGCAAGCGGTATTGGTTTTTCTCGTACATCTTGTTCAATGCAATCGATTTTAGCTGGAACCTTTGTCGGCAGTTCACGATCGATTTCATTGTGTTTTCTTTTGAATGAAGTGCGAATACTTCGAATTTGTCGCGATGTATTCATATCAGCTTCATCTTCACTGTTGGCAATCTCTTCGTCGTCGATTGGATCGGCTATCATTGCCGACGAACTTCCACCAAATGAATTTTGTGAGGTAAGATTTAAATTGTTCATATCAAATGACAGCATACTTTTGGCGCCAACTTCTTGAGCTGGTTGCGAACGCTCATACAATGCAAGTGCATTTGCATTTATATTGGAAAGTCCAAATGTTTTCATTTGTTCCGTCGTCTTGCTTCGACTTTCATTCAAAATGGCAGCATCCGCAATAGCACCATTTGAATCGACAGCTTCAATGTTATTTGCTTTATTGCATCGATTCAGCCATTCTTGGTCTATGTTATTTATCAAATTAGTTGATGTTGTTGTCTTGGTAACTTCATTGGATGGCATTGATTCCGTACCTAGGGATGATCAGAAGAAAAGAATTTAATCAATAAGTAATGGAACCGAATGGGAAAAAGAATCGAAGGAATGGATTAGGAATTGTTTCCGTACTTTCTTCGGTATCTTTTTGTTGTTTGGATTTTTGTGATAAAATTGTTTCTAAATCTGGAAACGATTCTTTTTGACTAGACGAAAGTAGTGATTGTGATGAAGTGTTACTGCTCAAGCTGTTTCGTGACAATGATTTTCGTGGATTACGTTTCTGAAAGCTAGAGTTCCGAAACAATTTGTCCGACATTGATTTTCTCAATTTACTGCCCGGGCTAATTGATGATTTCGATTCGGATTTTGATGTTCGAGCCCATGCGTTATCATTTACACTGTTCACACCTTCGGCTACAAATTCATTGCGATCGACAGTTGATCGATTCAATTGTACGGTGTCTGTCGTAGTATGAAGTGTTTCAATGCTTATGTTTTGTAAAATGATGGAATTGTCGCTGGTGAGAGCCGATACATCTGGCGTTGATATTTCGGAAAATGATGTTGATAGTCGAGATTCAGTTTGACTATTGGAACTTTCAAGTATTGATAAATCAAATGAATCTTCATCAAATGTATCGCTGAACGCTTCCTCGAGAAAGGATGTCTTCAATTTGTAGTACATTTTGTATGAATCACGAATAGTAGTGGGTGCTTCTCGGATATCGTGCTGTATATATACAGAAAAACAAAACGGTAAGTACTTAGGACATCATGCACATGTCATGTTATGCAAAAATTATACGATCATTTTCTTTACCTTCGATGGAACACGTCCGTTTTTCTCTCTGAATTGTTTCTCCCATAGTTTTACCTTTGTTTTATATTTTTGATATTTGGCCTTAAATGCTGGATCTTCCATTCTAAATAATAATCATCGATACTTGCGAAAAAACAACAACAAACAATTTTTTTAATTTAATAACAAAAAAACAACAATATAGAATTTATCACAATCGCAAAGTCGTCAAATATTTGGCGCCAACCAGTTCATTTAATATGTCAACTTTGAAAAGTGTGCAAACTGATCGGAATACGTTTCATGCTCATTCATATATCACCAACATATATATTCCATTCAATAAAAATAAAAAATAAAATAAAAACATTAAACTTATTAACGAATTCTATTTCAAAATAGTTGCGAATTTTATTTTTCCGTAATTTTGGGAATTCACGTATTTGTATAGTTTCAGTAAAAATGCCAAATATGTACAGTGCACTGTAATAACATCATTTGTGGTAACAGTGAACGCATCCATTTTGTATACTCATACATTACCATAGCGCACAAAGACATTAGCAACACACATAATTAGACGAGAGCTGTGACAGCCAATTTATTGAAAGGAAAATATTGCATCGTAAATAGTTGAAGAAGCAAGAACAATATTTTATTGCCAAAAAAAGAGAAAATTTTGTATCCATTATTAAACAAAAAATCGCACGGACTCTTATAAACAATTTCAATAAAAAACAATTTAAACAATTTAGCGAACAAAATCTTGCTTAAACGAAGTGTAGAATTAGGAAGATTTCAATAGAAAATTCGTCGAGCGTTTGAAGAAAGAAAACATCAACAATAATGATAAAATTGTTTTCTCTAAAGCAGCAGCAAAAAGATGGAGAACAAACGTCAAAAACTGGTACCAACAAAAAGACATCACCTGCACAGCTGCGAATTCAAAAAGGTTCATTCAACTTAAATTACTGTATCCAATTTATCACGTACATTTTTTTTGGAGTTTTCATCCATATTTACGACCAATAGACCATTCAATTTTTTTAAAATAATTTTCTTTCTAATAACACAATCATTTCTCTTTACAGATATTAATGATTTAAACCTGCCTAAAACATGCACAATAGATTTTCCTGATCCAGATGACCTATTGTTGTTCAAGTTAATCATCTGTCCAGATGAAGGTTTCTACAAAGGTGGTAAATTCAAGTTTAGCTTCAAGGTTAGTGTTAGACAAAAAAAAATATCATACAACGCCAAATTACATATTAGCAACTATGAAATCAAAATTTTGTTTGCTTATTTTTCCATCAAAACGTGATTTTTGATAATTTTATTGGCATTTCAAATAAAATGAACAGTTTTCGTGCATAGATTTGTGGCCAATATTTCGAAAGTGTACAGAGAACACGGGGTTCACCATATTTTAAACTCGAAAATCAACTTTGTCGCATGCAAATTATGTGTTCATTGTGAACTCTTTGCGTAAATAAAATGTTTGAATTTTTGTTTGAAAAGAAAGAAACTTAATTTTCCATGACAAAAGTTGCTTTTGTCTTTTGTTTGGATACAACTATAAAATTGATGAGAATGAGTCAGTGCATACGTCACATTTTTTTTTGCGACCAGTTTGCGTTTATTCCAACATTTTCAACAAACATTATACTTTCTCACGAATAACTGTAAACACATTCAAAGTAAAAAAAAAACGAACAGTGATGTTTATCAAGATTTCTTTCTCAAGTTTTGACAAAACGATGTTTTTTTTATTAATTTGTGCTTCTAAAAATGAATAATCAAATCAATTATGTATATTTTTTTTATTTATTAGGTTGGACCGCATTATCCCCACGAGCCACCGAAGGTCAAATGTGAAACTTTAGTTTATCACCCGAATATTGATTTGGATGGAAACGTCTGTTTAAACATTTTACGAGAAGATTGGAAACCAGTCCTTACCATTGACTCTATTGTCTGCGGTTTGCAATTTTTGTTTTCGGTAAGATATTTTTTTAAACCATTGTTTTGCGAATATGTCATTAATTGTTCGTAAAATTGTCGTGTACAGGAACCGAATCCCGAAGATCCATTGAATAAGGAAGCAGCAGAAGTGCTCCAAACGAATCGGCGGCTCTTCGAAAGCAATGTTGTCAAGGCAATGCGTGGTCACAGTGTTGGTGGTACATACTTTGAATGCTGTTTGAAGTGATACGTGAAGTGGAATCGACCGCATAATGCGAATTACTTAATTGTACTAACGCCGAACGATGAAAAAATCGGAATAAATGTATTCAAAAAATGGTTCTTTTTTTGTTTTTATTCATTTAAATGCTGCATTATTGGTTTGGCATTGTGATTGCATATCATTTACTTTATTTATTACTAATGTGGAAATGATTTGTGGTGAACTATGTTACACACTAAGCATTTTTTTAATTCCATTCGAAGGAACACGAACACAATTCTCTCTCACAGTTGAACTTCGACTTCATATTTTTTGACATTTGGTGTTTTGAATAATAAAAATAACATTTATTGTCCAACGAATGACAAAAAATAATACTACTTTGCAAATCCATACAATAAATAAATTCTATAGAGCCATCATTTGATCACATTTGAATTACATATTCCATAAGACCTGTCCATCTCTTCGCTAAGACGCTATTTCGCTCAATGGATTTTTCAAAACGACGAAAATCGAATACATATGGAACAATCATTTTTAGAAGGCTAAAATCTATGGGTTTTAGCAAATTCTTCCGACTGTTTGTAGAAAAATCATTACATGTAGGCGCCAATATATATCATTGCTGCAATTTATACATCAACATGGAGTGAAAACAATATCACTTCTATTCATTTCACTTAATTTCAGCACCTGACGATAACTGGCTGAGCTGATTCATGTGGCTGAAAATATCTCAATATAATGTCTGAACATGAGAGAAAATCTCACTGGGCTAGATGGAAATGTTGAATGATGCATGAAAGCGGCCGAGTGTAAGCCGAATGCTTCATATGTTAAGAATTTCATTGTTTATTGCAGTATATTGAATGATTGTGTAATCCCATAAAGTTAACGTTCATTTCCAAACAAAAACCAATTCAAATTAATTCAAATGAAAAATGTCTCAAAAATCTCAGAGTTTTTTCCTCGAAAAGTTTGTTTTTTTTTTATTGAAATTTTTAAAATTATCTTTGTGATTCATTCCATTTGACATCGAAGTTCAATGTTTTCCTAATAGGGATGCACCAAAACTAAACAAATTTTCTTTTAGTTTTGATTTTATAAGGTTTTTACTGATACTGATTTTTTGAAATTGTTCATCCTCTATATGTGGTGTTTCTGCGCTTCGCAGTGTTACATCAAGTATCCGGAAAATGTTGAATATCCACTAAAAAAATCCACACGTTCTTCAATCGATGAATGATTAATTACGAAAGCAACGAATATAATTGAATTGAATTCAAACGTCAGCTTTCAAAAATCGAGCCGAATCCGTCCCAAAACGCAGTGTCTAGAGCACTTAAATGAGACCATCGAACGCATACATATCCACACCATGTCCATATGGTGTGAGCGGCAGGCTAATGATCAATGTCAAATCTGTAGCTCTCAAATTGAAATTGTTCGGCTTGCATATACGCATACACAGTGAAATCGGCATGCATTTGTATTAGTTTTGCGTATTGGAACGTTCTTATATCAACAGTAATGTAAACACAAACTTGCCGATTCTTGTACGAAGCATGACTCACAGAACATTTCACTTTGTTCAATCATTACCAGTTAGCCGGTTAAAGTATGCTGACACTTCAAGTTTATCTAATCGACAGAAAAACAAACTGCAAACAAGTGGGTATCTTAGATTTATACATTGTATCGTTGCTTTGTTTGTTCATTTCATAGCACTCAAAAATAAGTTTATTATTGTTTGAGATTCAATAAAATCAATCCATGCTATCAAATACCGCCAAATTTATATTCGATCATTTATGAAGAAGATATACGATATTTTTTTGTCTTTTGCAATAAATTCGTTTGCATTCGACCGATTTATGAGTGAATTTGAATTGAGTGACAACAGCGCAAAAGAGATTTTAATCAAATCAATTACTACTGGTCATAATAAGAATTGGTTAAACAAAATGTGTTAGTGCTATCAACAAAACATATAATTAAGATATTTGCGCCAAAAAGTAATTTCATTTTATTTCATTTAACTCTGTTGACTTGTGGGTGCATTAATGTTGCGCACATTTCTTAATATGTAAATTGAAAAAAGTTAAGAAAAACAATCGCTCATAAACATAATTCGTTACATATGGAAAGAGGGAAAATGTGTAATGATTAAATATGAACAAATAACTAAGCGCGCATCGAATTTCGTTTAACTTCGGCGACATTACCACCACAGCAACCGTTGTGTGTATAATGATCGTTGACTGTGTTCAGCAAATTTTATATATATATATTATTTGTTCCAATGAACGATTCTAAGAATTCATACATCCACAGCAATATTGGTGTTCTCTGCTTTTCATTCTGTTTGTGTGATTCGTTTTGTATTTTGTATATGCTTGCAGATTTATTCCTATGGTTGCTGTGTTTGGAAGTTTCAAAACTAACGGATTGAGAGAACAGAATTTTTAAAAAGGAAGCAATATTCACTCCTTGCTGTGGATTAGATGTTCTATTATTACTCGATGCGGTGAAATTAACACGCCAAGCTACGCATTGAAATCAAATGGTTCGTTTTTGGTAAGAAATTTTTATGATGATACGGCATTTTAAAGAAAAATTAACGACATTTTGTATTGAATAAATATTTCTGTTATATATGGTGAATAGAACCACATACCATACACTGTTGTTGGTCATTCAATATTATTTGTATTTTTCGTAACGGCTATCGTAATATTCATGACGAAAAATCTTAGTAGGCCTGGGCAATCGTTTTGCCGTAGATCACATAGCCATGCATGCCAATCAATTCACAGCCACAGTTCAATACAGTATTCAAGTGACTTGAATCAAGTGGTTGCGGTACCGTGTAATACATTAAATGCGTGGTTCTATTCACCGTTTGAAAAAAAAAACCCTATCAAATAAAGAAATTCAAGAAATTATTTAAAAATAAAATAAACTGCATAATTTTTGTAATTCGTACATTTTATCTCATCTTTGTCAATAGGCTATAAGCCACATTGAAAAATGTCTAAAAATAATGTTTCACAAGAAATACAGGACATTCTATTAGATCATGTCCTATTTTCACGATTTTTACCCCAAGAAAAACCGCGATACATCTATGAAGAGATGTTAATGGTTAAGATGATAGAGAATGTGGAGAGTCTATCAAAATATTTGATGCCAACGAAAACGGTTGAAATGCTTCAACGTCTAAAACGAGTGCATTTTGAATGTACGCCAAATGTCATTTCGGAGGAGATCAATGATTTGGAGCCAGGCGACACTTTTGCGATGTACGTTCGACGTCAAAATTGTGCAATCATGATACATGTACCGGCAAATGAGCTCATTAGCATCGAAGAAACTCGTAATGTAATTGTTGCCACATTTCCCGGAAATTTGTATAGACGTGAAATTTATGAACATGACAGTGACATCGAGGTAAAATTTTCATATCGAGAATTATTCACACGAACCATATCCATTTGGCATTTGCTCATTTGTTGTTTCATTTTACAGTTCAATTATCCACTACAGGCGTTAAAAGTCAAGTTTTCAGAAATGTTACAATCGGAAGACTTTGCAAATCAATTGTCGATTTTAACCGAAGAGCTACCCATTGAAACAAAAATTCGAAACTACGTATCAAAATGGTAATGGTAGACATTTTTTATTCTATATATTTTTTAAATTTCTATGTATGAATTTTAGGTTGACGACACTGCTGATGGATGAAAAAAGTAGAACCGTTTCAACAAAAGAGTTTCCAGTGATAACAAAAAAGATTCGAGACGCTGTAATGGGCGAAACCAAACACAATTTCTTTCGTCGATCAAGTTTTTATATGAGCATCAAAGTAATGCTTCAACACAGTTTAACAATGCAATTGGGTCACGAATCGGGTAAATTTCTGTACAAAATTGTCATGCTAAAATTTTTGGTCGAGATGTGTGACATTTACAAGGATCCTGAATGCGATCCATTGAATACTGATCTGTTGTCTCAAATGATCGCCAAATTGGCTCGACGCATTGAAAAATTAATGCAAACAAAACACAAGAAAGCAACAAACATCGAAAAATTCTACGATAGTACGATACGTGATGCAAAACAAACAATTATTGATATTCGCGCAAAAATCAACGAACAAATCGAATCAATTCAACTAGATGATGAGGAAAATTCCAAGCTACAGCCGCTAAGCGGTTTGAACTTTGAATCAGATATTGTCTACAGTATGCCGAAATTATGCGCTTATTTGCGAGATCGAATGGAAATACAGCCAAAAAGAAATTCGAATTTCAGGCATAAGGTGAAATCTTATCGACGATACAAACAAATCAAGCACATCGAACACATCGAAGAAGGCGTGGAACTAGGCATGTATTTTGCAGACTTTGAATGTTTAGTTCTCTACCAAATGTCAATGAAAGATGAACAGCACACCCCAGACGATCTAAGAATATGGTTTGTTCAATACACCGAATATGCAATGGAGACATATACCGGTGATCCGTTGATGATAAGCCGAATTTTATTGGTATGTTTGAAGTTAATAGCAATGCTGGATCGTCGTGCAACTATCGAATTTCCATTGCTTAAGAAACATCGTTGCGGCATCAATTCAAATATAATCAATTCATTGTTGCTACCTCAACGCATCGACATGGACACGGCTCATCGTTTGGAAAAATATTTTCGAATTCGAAATGAAAATGCAACCGATCCGAGTTTGATTGAAGAGAAAAGTGTTAGCGAAAAGTCATTTTCAGTGAAATTTGTAAAGGATGATGACGACATGCTACAGATGCGAAATGAAATTTTGCGAATTGATGAACAAAATAAACAAAAAAAGAAGATGGAATGGGCCCAAGGCCGTGAAAAGGTAAAGCATCTTCGGGACCAAGCCAATCAATTAGATCATACATTCTTTACGAATCGATATGGCGAAGTTCACCATGATAAACGGTGTAATTTATGCCATCTCAGAAAGAAGGCCCAAAACTATTGGTTAGAAGCCTACGAATGTCTATTACCAAAAAAAGATATCGAACAGTTTGCCGTTGTGTTTGAGCTTGGTATTCCAGATACAATTGCTTGTTTGCGCGACATCCTCTATTGTTTCACCACACTCTGTGTTAAGAGTACGGAAAAGTTAAGCATCAAAGCTAATTGGGTGGAGTACAGAGAAATTGCCGCATTCAATCGTTCGACGAGCAAATATGTAACGCTTGGCAGCACCAAACGACGCAGATCAGAAAATTTGCATGTTGACGAAAATGTCAGACAATTTATCGTTCCAAATTCATTAAATTGTGTTCTTCATGTTCATGATATGGCAATACCTACCTCATTGTCGGATAATGCAATAAAAGATATATGCACATTCAAAGCACAAAACGAATACCTTGGCCTACAATGGACTGTACAGTCTACAAACCACACTGAAGCAGAAGTGCTTGCGCGTCAATCCGAATGTCCACAGAATTTGTCTTTGGCCGAATACAAAAATTTTGGTATGCTTCGTGCTGACGGTCATCGATTACAACTACGAAAATTACATGGAATGATCGCAACCGATGCACTTTCATTTGAAAAAGAATCCGTTCTATCGCTTATTTTGCAAACGTTGTGGGAGTGCGGTGTGAGCGGTGACGCAAAATCAATTCGAGAATCGCACATTGATTTAAATGATTCATCATTTTGTTCGGCAATAATTGATTCCCTTGCGGATTTTGTTGACCAACAAAAAGACAATTGGATGCATCCATTTAAATTACTCATGGCAACACTGATAGCCGTACGTGCATTTGAAATCAACGAAATCGATTTTATGGCAGAAAAAATTGTTGAACTTCTTCATAGCATTCGAGCGATTGTTCAGGGTTGGATTGAAAAAATGGAAAAAACAATTCACGATGCCCAAAATTTGAACGAAGAAAGTGAAAAAGAACTACGTTTGAAGCTGATCTATGTAGCCGTCACTGGCGCATTAACGTTTTTCGTGAACAAAAAGCATAAATATTATGACATCGTTTTCACAAAGGATGCCAACAACCGATACACATCGACACAATTATGGCTTCATTTTATCATTCTTATGAGAAACCACATGAATCTCTGTGAAAACCATGAAGACCAGTTGCCATCCAATTTGCGAGTCTTTTTACGGCTCGTCGAAATTGCGGGTATCAATTTGGAGCCAAAAATGAAGGAATTAATCAAACAAGATTTAAATGAAGTGTTCGATCTGATTCAAAAGCATTGGTTTGCCGCTACCAATTATAAACCATCTACAATGGACTTTTCGGAGGAATTTTCACATATTCTTGTCATTGAAACGACAATCGATTCGACAATTCAAAAAGCAGAAATTGACATAATCACGGGCAAATTTTTGGTAAATGGTTCGCCGTTATCTCGTCTGCCACCCGAAATGACCCAACATGATGGATTTCGACGTATTTTCGGGAATGCAGCATTCGAAGTTCGTTTGAATGCCCATCATCGCTATTGTACCGTTCAAAAGTACAACGATATCACTTACGAATTTGAAAACTACAATGACAACTTCATCGTAACAGAGCGCAAAGCCAAAGGTTACGAAAAAGAGTACATACATTATACGGTGTTTGGTGGTAAGTACGATGAAATGGATTACTATGGACTACAATTGATTTATTTCTATTTTAATTTTTTAAAGGTGATTTTCCACACTTGCTCGTCGCGAATTACAGGTAGGTTTTTCAAAAATATTTTTTTTTATTTATAAGATTTAATTTTTATATATATATTTTTTTTAATCATAAAAAGTCACTGGTGGAACAAAAATGAAAACTGTATAGAATTCCGTCAGCGAGTATATGGGCGGCGTGATTTTTCGAAAGAAACACCAATTGATTATCGACTCGATTTACACACATTTCATGTAATTCAAACAAAAACAAAACGTCCAATGCTTGACTTTAAAACTCAATCTTACAATCAAATAACGCGTCAACTGCGTCGTTTAGAGCATGTAAAATTTATTCATGTACTTTTGGACAGACCGAACATGGCAACCGTTGAACTACCACAAATGAAATTGAAGTTCACAATAAACTGTTCAGATGAAGCAAAATTGTCCAATCAAGTTTATTTGGAATCGAATGAATTCAGTGGTATGCGAGTGAGTCACAAGCAAAAAATTGGCACATTGTATGGTCTTAACCATGGTTTGATTTTGGAATGCGTTGACCCGACTAACAAAACAAAAATCCTACTAATGCCCCATGGACCAATTGAAATTGTTTGCACCGATTTACATGTATCGGTGAACATTGACACCAAAATGAATATTAAGAATCCACCGTTTTACCACTATCAAGTGGATGAATATTGTCATCAATTAAAAGCCAGCAGTGGCAGTCATGCGTCATGGTTTTTTATGGCTTATTTACATGCAATCACATCGCATGGTCAAATCGAACCACTCACCGGAATGAGTGGAACTGAACGCGCTCTACAAATACTACAATCAGCCTATGCCTGGTCATCATCACCATATGAACCAGAAGAAATCGAAATGTTGGATTTAATCGCCAAATTATCGCCATTACGAAAACTGAACGAACACAATCAAACGGTGACTTGGCCATCGGATATTCCAGCACATTCCGCTCAAGACTCGTTTGTTTTCATTGTAAAAAAATTACTGGCCGACAGTCAACGCTTATATGGTCTATATTCGAAAGATAAACCGAAAAATATTGAAATTGATACCGATTTAAATATCAATGAACGCGAGTACCGCCGTTGTTTGCAAATGCAGCCGAATTTACGTGTGTCCGATTTATTTATTGAACATAAAGTGTTGACGACATCCTTGCCAGAAATGGGTCATTTTTTATTTTCGGAATCAACGCAATTCGTATCGATTTTGTATCATCAGAAAACATACAAAGTTCCAAGCGAACTAAATTTGGGTGAATTTCTAACGAATAGAGATGTGTTGAAAGGAACGATCAACAAAGGTTGCATTCCAAACATCTTGCATCACAGTGGCTATGAGAAATTTGCTGATTTGTGGATTTGCTTGTATGATGCTGTTCGAACGGAAGAAATTAGTCGTGAAAAACTTGCCTTGATATTAAGTTTATTTGCACATCAGAAAGAAGGGCTCGGTCCAATTTTGGCACTTCAAGCGATTGCTATGAATCCAACAGAATTCGAAGATTTGTGTCCACCATCGGTGGAGACATACCAAACCGCGTGTGGAACATATGATGATGAAAAAGTGGCAAACATATTAAGAAGCTGCTGCTATAAAACATGTGAACACCGTGGTCTATCCATAGTTGTAAATGGCAATGAATCAAACATAGATGGTTTAACGGCTATCATTGATGGTGTAATGGCGAATATTTCGGAGGATTGGCCATGCGATTCGGTTGATTTGGTTGAAAAATGGACATTTGAAAATAAGGAGTTCGAATTCAATTTCTATGTTGCAAATCAACTTTTAAATGAACAACTTACCATTTGGCATAATAATCACAAACTGAATGAGTTCATTGAAGAGGTTGAACATCGTTTAAAATCATTGCCTGGATCGGGTGTGCATTTGCTTTTGCCGAAATATCATCCATTTGTAATAGCTGAACCGAAAAATTGGGCCAAATTCCAATTAAACATTGACGAAAAAATACGCGAGAATTTGGACGCATTCAACGATGAAGCAACAGCATTGAAGGCACACATGGTTTGGGAAAATGAAACGACAGAATGTTGTTCATCGAAGGAATGGTGGGATATTATTGAAAATATTTTGAACTCAAATCGCACCGATTATTTGATTGCATCTGGGCTATTTCCAAGAATAGTTCCAAGTTGGTTATTACCGAAAATCATTGCAACAGATACCGATGAACGCTTAAAAGCTATGATTGGTGCTTGGGCAATTTCAATTGTTCATGAACAACGAGAGCAACGCATTGAAAGATATTCACAACGACCCGAACTCAAGTATGAAATGGAAATAGAGAATGATAATAAGCCACATGTGAATTGGAAACCACACGAACGTCCTGAATGGTTGATATTCGAAATTGAACAGAATCTAACCATTCGTCGGATTCAAATTGAGATTGCCAAACGTATGATTGAACCGCAAACAACTGCCGCCAAACACTCGGTCATGCAATTAAATATGGGAGAAGGTAAGACCGCCGTTATCGTCCCAATTGTTGCATCAATTCTGGCCGATGGAAATCAGGCTTGTCAAATTACGGTGTTAAAGTCACTACTTGCAAGGAACCAAAAAACATTACGTCAATTATTGGGTGGATTATTAAATCGAAGATTGTATATTGTACCATGTCGGCGTGATATGCCAATTTTCAACAACATCCAGCAAATTCAAGACATGTATGAGGAGTGCAAAAGTGAAAAAGGTAAATTGATTGCTAAAATTAACATCATAGCAAAACTAGTGGAAAAAGAAACGGAAAATTAATTGGATTTTTTTTTACTTTTGTAACAGGCGTCATTTTGACTCTGCCCGAATACCGTTTATCTCTGCAACTTAAAATCTACGAGCCGATACCAAAGGGAAACATCAAAGATGCAAAGAAAATGTTGGATGTCCACAAATGGATCAACGCCAACGTGCGAAATATTCTTGATGAATCCGATGCGATTTTACAGGCAAATTATCAACTCATTTATACAGTTGGTAACCAATTGCCACCGGATAGTGGTGCACAACGTTGGCTCGTTACACAAGCTGTTTTAAAACGCATACCGCATCGGATGCACGAACTGTACAAGAAATATGGAAAAGAGAGAATTGAATTCGATTCAAAGAAATTCAATTATCGTCCAGATGCATTCACGCCATGTCGAATCCTTGACGAAACCATCTTTGACGATTTGAAAAAGGTTTACGATTGATTCTGTTCATTGTTTTGTACTGTCATAATTGGAATTTTTTATTTTTTCCACCACAGGCACTAATCGATGACTTCTTAAATGGTCAAATGGATATTAGTTTCCCTGAAATTACTGAATCAGCAAAGCAATCCATAAAGAATGTAATATCTGAAAAGAAGATCGATAAAAAAATATTCCACACGTTTGAAAACATGTTCAGCGAGAAGCATGATCAAAATACAATAATGATACTGAGCGGTTTGCTACGATTTGAGGTGTTAAAATTGGTGTTGACCAAGCGATGGCGTGTCAACTATGGTGTGAATGCCAAGAGCATACGCAAGATGGCAGTTCCGTTCAAGGCCAAAGATATTGCGTCTGAAAATTCTGAATTTGGCCATCCAGATGTCTCGATTTGTTTTACACAATTGAGCTATTACTACTCAGGTGAAAAAAAAAATTTCTTTCATCATTTCAATGTATCGTACAATAATAATGTCAATATTACAGGCCTAACTGATGCTCAGCTTTACCATCTATTCAATTATGTATTGGAAAATAAACCAAATGCGAAAGAGATTTATGACAAATGGATTGAAAGTATACCAAAGAAACGAATCAATGGTTCGATTCGGTTTTACAAAAGCATCAACTTGGACAACATGAGTCAGCGTAAATATCTATTCTCGCTGCTCTCTCACAACATGCATGTCATCGATTTTTGGCTGGCCGAATCTGTGTTTCCGTACGAAGCAAAGGTGTTTGAACGAAAATTGATGTCCACATCTTGGGATTTAACTTGTGATCAACTCGTACACTGTTCAACCGGATTTAGTGGTACAAACGATACCAAGAATGTTCTGCCGTTGTCGGTTGAACAAAATGATCTGCCTGAACTTGAAAAGACCAATGAATATATGCAGCAAGTGCTATTGCTACCGGAAAATCAGTCGTATGCATGTTTGCCAGCAAATGTGAGCGGAACACAAATACTTGTGGAATTAACAAAGAAAAATATACCAGTTCTCGTTGACTCAGGTAAAAAAAACATGAATTTTTTTTTTTCTTCATTTCAATGTACCGATGTACAAATAATAATGTCAATATCAATATTACAGGTGCTTTAATGATTGAATTAACCAACGAACAAGTAGCCATTGAATGGTTGAAAATGGCATCGGAAACTTTATTTGATGCATGCCTATATTTTGATTCACGCGACGTTTTACTAACCATTGATCGGAATGGCGTGATTACTGAATTTGATGGGTCCGTTTATCGTGATAATTTGTCAAAATGTCTGGTCTATTTGGATGATGTGCATACCCGTGGTACCGATTTAAAGTTTCCATTGAATTGGATGGCATGCGTGACATTGTCCGGCGATATAACATGTGATAAAACGGTTCAATCATGCATGCGAATGCGTCAATTGGGAAAGAATCATTCGATCTGCTTTTGGGCATCATACGAAGCGGACATTTGTATTCGGAAAATTTGTAATTTATCAGCTGAAGATAAAATCACAAATGAAAATGTCATAGACTTCATTTGCAATAACAGTAACCAATTCGAAAAGACAAATATGGTTCATTGGACGGCAGCAGCATTGAATTACACAAAAAAATCGATTGGGCACAAACTGTTTGAGAATAACACTGATGAAGATGCCATGGAAGATCTTTATGACATTTGTGTCGACGAGGAATATGTGACTCTTGAAAAAACCTATGGCGACAAAGATGAAGCACACCTCACCGATATTGCTTGGGCGAAATTCGACCGGCTCGGTGCTGATTATAAATCAAACAAGGAAATAAGAATGTTTGTTCGTGATATGCAAGACAGTGTATTCGAAAAACTAACCCATCATGCGTCCGATGTAAAGCAATTTTCACATGCACTTGATGAAGAACAGGAAAAAGAATTGGAACAACAGGAGGAAGAAGAACGTATTGTTGAACGTCCACCAGCTGTAGAAGCGGCCACACACAAAATTGACAAACGACTTGAAAGCCTCATTTTAAACGGTGTCACTGATAATATTGTTGAAACGTTGAAAACACAACGATCACTATTCACACTTGCTGCGAGCCTGACACACACTCAACTATTCCGTACTTATAAAAAGAACAAAGATGCATGGTCAAATCATATACTTGTGACCAAAGACTTTAAAACAGTGATTGCAAGTTCATCGCAATCGTGTGACGAATTTTTACGACCGATTTGGTGGATTGCACAAATTAAAAATGCCAAAGGAAACGACCTATTGTTACTCATGAGTTCGTTTGAATGTGATTTGTTTTTGTCAGCCTTTCGAAAGAGCACCAATGCGGCCCTGTACATGTATCGAGCACGTTTAAGCAAATCACATTGTAGCCTCGTTCAAGATCCCCGACTGGTAATCACCGCGCTTTTTTCTGTTATTAATTAATTCTTATTGATTCTTTTTCGATTATTTGTCGATTATTTTAAATAAATTGTATTCTTTTCTTTTGTGATTCTCCCCTTAGGTGATCACCGCGATGGACACTCTCGAAGACATCGACATTCATGATGAAGTTCAAATCGGTTTTTATGCGGGCATCATGTTTTTCCAAAGCGAAGATGAACAGAATGCATATTGTAATTTCTTAGGATTGATTCCACGTCCACGTACACATGAACAAGATATGGCATTTGAAAAGGGCACCATTCAAGCCAAAGGATTTGTACCAATGGGCAATCGTCAATATTCAGAATCAATTTCGAGCTGCGTTGGTCATTGCCAATTTCAGGAAAATCCAGTGGACTTGGGCATTAAATTGATCGAAGCTCATCATCAAAATCTACTCAAAGAGTCGCATGTTGCTTCGATTTTGGAACAATGTACCAAACGAAAAATTGATTGCATTAACGGTGAATAGCGTTTTACATGATGCAATCAAATCAAAATATGAAAATATGATTCAAATACATTTTAATTTCATATGAATAAAGAAACTATTTATTTCGAATTTGTTGAAAATCAATCTATTTTTGTCGATTTAGTACTCCACTTAAATTTTGAAATTTTCCCCCCGATTTTCTTGCAGGAAATGGCATACACAATGTGTTGTCAAGTGTCTGAAAAAGATCCATTCGAAAATGTACACATTTTTATAAAAAGTATAGAATTTTTGATAGAATGTCAAATCGATAGACATGACCTCACCTTATCTGTGACTAATTTCAGTGTTTCAATTTCATTGCGTAAAGAAAGAAACTCATCAATATTTTGTTTAATACCATTTATGTGAACCAATTCTTGGATATCGTCAAGCTAAAATAATTTCATCCGAATCAATTAATTCAGTCGTATCGAACATTTCAAATGGAAAACTTACCGTTTTAATAGATGTCAGTTGATCCTTCTCTTGTTTTTGTTTGTGACGTTCAAGTATAGTCCGAAACATGTTCAGTACTTTGTCATAATGTCCAATTTGGGCCCATGCCAATAATTTTATCTCTCTTACGGCAAAATAGAAATTTTTTGGATAATCTTCATAAATCCTCAACACTTCCAACGCGATTTTCGGTTGTTTTTGTTTTATCGCTAAACCAGCAACGAATGTTAAACTTTTTCGAAACTGATGTTTGTCGTTTTTATAAGTCATTTTTTTCCACAACGAATACGCTTGTTCCAAAGACTTTGGTGTATTCTATAATTGAATAAAAAAAATTTTTTTTTTTCTTTTTGATTTGCTCAAAATGGTGTATCGTTATTAACACACGTATTGCACACACGTACCAATTGATAATACGTTGCAAGAATGATCACAGTGGTAAATTTGTACAGTTGGGCCTCCTCATTTAAATTATCGTATAGTCTAAGAATGTCTTCATACATTTTGTGTTCGTAAAGCATATCGAAGAGAATTTGATGACTGGTGAATTGTGGAAAAAGTTGTCCAATTACATCATCCTCGAACATCTGTAAGAAAACTTTATTGAGAGTTGCATTTGTTTTCTCAAATAAATCGACAATTTACCGCAATTGCTTCATCTGGCATGTCGAGATAATAAAGTGCTCTCATTATAACTGGGCCAAAACGAAACTTATCTCCGGCATATTCGTTTTGCTTTTTTGCCAAAAGCGTTAATGCTTCTTTCAGATGAACGATATCAAGTTCAGTATTTTCAATAATGAAAATGAAATCCTTTAAACCATTTTTCAAATCTTCATAAAAGCAGTCTTCATCGTTCAGAAATTTATGCGCAAAATTTGCTTTATAAAATTCTACATTTCCCAAGAACTTTTTGACTTCAGTACGGGCACGTGCAAAGTCAACAATACCCAATTCTTCACGAGAAAATAAGCATCGGATCTGATTTTGTGAAACGGCTCTTCCTAATAGGTGAAGAGTCTGAGATTAAAATGTATTCATACAAAATATTTGAAATTTTACATGAAATGAAAAACAATATTCACCTGATAATGAGGCAATGGGCAATTTATGTGCTATTTTCAACAAACGCAACATATTTTAAATAAATAAAAAAAAATATATATTTCCAATTGTAAACCAATAAACTTAGAAGATATTGAATAATATAGAGGTTAGTAATTTGACAATTCAATTTAAACGCCAAAACCACACATAGTGCCATCTGTGTTGAAAACCCATATTAGATACCATCTTACATATATGTGAAATCATCGAGTTAAAAAAAAAAGATAAAAATTCGTAATATTTTAAAGATTTATTTATACAAGATTCCATTTAAACGCTCATTCTACTACGAATTTGTTCGTATTGTGGAAGATTCGAAATAGATCCAACTGCAGCAACAGCGGGACTACGATTTACAACATATTTGGTGCATACATCTCGAATATTTTGAGCATTCACATTATTGATTCTAGCCTCAAGTTCATGAAGTGGAATTCGACGGCCATAGCACAGCATTTGTCGTCCAATATCTTCACAAATTGGTGTGGTACCTGTATGAAAGAAAATCGTATATAAAAATGATATAATAACACTATTAGTTGAAGTGAATTTACCGTCAAGTTGAAGCAACATATTTGTTTTAAGTAAATTTTTAGCACGGTCAACTTCAGCTTCGGTAACGTTACAGCAAATACGCATCAATTCATTCAAAAAATTGAAAACGAAATCTTCGCAAGTCGATGGTTCGCTTGTCACATAAATGCCCCACAATCCTGTATCTTTATAGCATGTGTTGAACGATTGGTAACCGTGACATAGGTCTGTATTCAATAAAACAATTAATAATTCAAGTGAAGTAAATATTTAACTTTGAATACTCATTGTAAGAAATAAAAAAAATGTATGCTTACTGTGTTCAGCGCATATGCTAGCCAAATTTGATGAGTTATTTACACCGCCACCTTGTGATCGATCCCACGATCCGATTAATGTGTTTGCCACCATTAAAGGAACATGATCTTGATTTGTCCAACCGGATCCTTCCACAGCAATTGCAAAATTAGCCGTTGGTATTGTATCGTCACGAACCCGAATTTCGGATCCGGTGAAATGGCATGGAGATAAATTTGGCATATCACCATTTGGAAAACGGCCAAGATATTCTTCAGCCATTCCGACTAAATCATTGTGAGTTATACCACCGGCCCCGGCCAATACAATACGTGATGATTTATAATGGGTGTCAATGTATGTGCGTAAATCACTTTTTCCAATTGATTTGATATTCTCTTTTGGTCCTAAAATCGTTTGGCCCAATGGTGTTTCTTGATAGGCGGTCGCATGTAAGTGATCAAACACAACTTCCTGCATAACACTTTCAACCTCTTGCATTTCACGCAGAATAACACCACGTTCACGTTCAATATCTCCTTCGGCTAGCTTTGAATTCTGAATGATATCCGATAGAATGTCAACCAAACGTGGAACATCTTTTGATAAACATTTTGCATAATAAACCGTTTGTTCGCGGGATGTGTATGCATTTAAGTGAGCGCCAAGATTTTCAATTTCCAATTCCAAATCGGTTTGTGAACGTTTTGCTGTTCCTTTGAATGCCATATGCTCTAAAAAATGTGCAACACCATTGTTTCGTGGTTCTTCATATCGAGATCCGGCATCAATCCACAGTCCAATTGTTGCTGTTGAGCCACCACTATTTTCGGTTGCCACACGAAGACCATTACTTATTGTTGACAATTCAGTTGGTGGTACATTCAATAAAACGGCCCGATTTGCTGCTTGTGTTGATTGCAATCGCTATGAGAGTGAAAAAATTCTCTGAAATTAATTCATATGTTCATGGTAAACACAATTATAGTTTATACAATATTGAACAACAACAAAGACAATGAAAACATTTAATGAAAACAAATGTTGCGCAAAACAGGAAACACATTGAATTTCACCGCAAATTTAAATTAAATAATTTTGATATACATTTATTATCTGTAAATTACCTGTGTAATTGTCCGAAGATGCCGTGGCAATCTTATTAAACGTGATGCCATTGTAAATCGATTTATGTAAAGTCGTTCAAATATTGTGAAATATTAAATGACCAAATAGTTTTTCGATTCATGTGCTCCCATACGACAATTAGAACTGTCAACCAATTCCATTCAATTTACATATGTCAATCAAAAGAGAACGTTCTTTTTTTTTTAACTAAAATACGATTTAATCAAATGACATCATTTAACGGTGATGCTTTTGAATGAAATTTTTGAAATTATAGAATATTTGAGTTTCATAAGAATTTTATTTAAGTATCGCACAATAAAAGGTGTAATTTTATGTTATTGTTATTCGAATCGTTTTGAGAAAATATTATTGCATTTTGGAGAATGGATGCGTTTAATGTCATGCGAACAAATGATACTGGGGCGCAAGCTTCATAATTGTGTTGTTACTTCATTTACTATCAAAACAACACAAAAGTTGACATTCTTTTTTTTCTATCGCAACTGCGAATGGAGAAAAATACAATTTTTTAAGAAACATCTGTGCGCCATGAGCAAGGATTTACAAAGCAATCCATCTGTGACCAGTTAGTTTCAATATTGTAATCAGTTGCACTTTGACATCAATTTTGTTTGTTTATCTGCAGTTTGCATTGTAAATGTCATAACTAAATCGAGAGCGTCAATTAAGTTTAACTAAATCAAATATAGGGATAGTGTGTTAAGGTGAATTTTTTCGGTAGTTTATAGTGTTTCTTTTTATATTTATTATGTTGTGTATGACAGTGACATAATAGAAAGACTGGTTTCGCGATAAATATGTAAAGTATCTCAAATAAAGTTCGAACGAATACTGTCAAAACAAATCAAATCTAGCACATTTTCACCACACGTATCAAATGCGAATCTCATCTCTAATTGGAAAGATAAATTTGATTTAAATTCTACGCACTGTCGCGCCATTAATAGAAATTGAAAGAAGAAAATACGAAAAGCAAAAGGACACCATGGAAGGAATGTTTTCACGCATAAAAACAAAAGTGTTAAGCGCTGTAAATTTGGATAATATACCACATACACATACAAACCCAAGTGGCATTACAATTGGTGTTGCGGAATTGCCGTCATCGTCGTTTTCGTCGAACCGTCATGTTGATAATAGAACGTTGCCGAATAAATTCACATACAATCGACCGACATTCCTACAATTGATGACACAAGATGAGCTTCGCGCCTCTGCCGATCATAATGTACGTCCAATTATTGTACCTAGAGACATATCGATAATGCCATTGAATACGGGATACGCGGAATGCGTTAATTCAGGCAAATCTGAATGGAATGAAGATCAAGCAGCATTTTATCGACAAATTTTAACACATCCCACAAATAAAGATGAACCTGGTCTACCTTATACTTATTTTGGAATATTTGATGGTAAGCAAACACATTTCGATTCTTCTTCTTTTTTTTACAGAAATGGTATAAATGAAGAAAATTCGTATTTTACGATTTCAATGTTTAGGTCATGCTGGATTTGGCGCAGCTTTAGCAGCATCACATCAATTCCATTATATTTTACATGAAAAACTGGTGGATGTAATTGATCTATTGGTCACATCAGATAATCAACAATCGGCGGCACAACGTTCGAAATCGATTGATAATATTCCATATCCGATGGCATTTTATCGAAATGTTTCAAAAGATGAACTCATCATTGGTGCATTGGAGAGTGCATTTTTGGAGATGGATGCCTTACTAGCTGGTGATCGAAAAAAATATCGAAATGCTGGCGGTTGTACCGCTCTAGTTACATTATTTATAAATGGAAAATTGTTTGTTGCGAACGCAGGCGATTCTCGTTCAATTCTATGTCAACGCTTGCCAACTACCGAATTAAATGGAATTTTGAATGGAAATGTAGGCAACAGTACAAGCGATCTGAACGATTCAAGTGCGATTAAAAATGGAAATGACAATGGCATTGATAGTAATGCCAATGGTGAGACGGATAAAAAAATGTGGCACGTATTTCCAACACCAATGTCATTTGATCACACACCTGAAACGGAACGGGCACGTCTCATGAATACAGCTCAATTGAATCCATATTTGATGGCCGGTGAATATGTTGCCACTGAGTATGCAAAACGACCAATGCAACGTGATCTGGGCAAACGTGTACTTTATCGGCATGGTTCGATGGTTGGTTGGGCGTATAAAACGCTCACCTTTGATGATTTAAAAATTCCAATTGTTACGGGTGAAGGTAAGCGATCGAGACTATTGGGAACGATAGGTGTTACACGCGGTTTTGGTGACCATGATTTACGTGCTTTATGCACTGGCCTATCGATAAAACCATTTTTATCACCACATCCTGAGGTGGTGTCACGAGATCTGACCAAAGTTGTGTCATGCCCTAAAGACAATAATGAGGACGGTGAATATGGTGTTTTGGTGATGGCCACCGATGGTTTATGGGATGTTTTGGACATTGATACGGTTAGTAAAACGGTATTCAATACACTAAATAAATATCCAGTTGAAAAACATCGTTATACGATGGTTGCACAAGAATTGGTCGCAAAATCACGTGGTCGTGCAAATGAAGCCGGCCATTGGCGCTTGACCGAAAGTAAAGCGGCCGCAACTGTTGATGATATCAGCGTTCTAGTGATTCCAGTCTATCAATACTACAAAGAGTATATTGAATGGAAAACTGGATATTTGCATCGAAAACAAAATCTCAATACGGATGATGAATTGCCGGAGGAACATAAAGGCGAAATTCAAATAGATAAAAACGCTGATTTGGCAACGTCATTCAATTCAATTTCAGTCAAAAGCGATAGCATTTTCGAGGCCGAAGAGGCCAAAGCTGAAACTGAAACCAATGCAAATGAACCGAAACCAGATGATAAACATACAGAGTTCCATGTAAATGGAAAACTTGAGCCAGACCAAGATAACCAGATGTAAAAATTCTCGTAGAAGTTTTATGCGCAGTTTTATTCCATTGATAAACAGATTTTGTATCACAAAACTCGTCACAATATACATCTTAGCGCTTCGATAACATCCAAAAATTCTTTGAATTTTTAAAATAATCTCTTTCTCGTACACTAACTATCACAAAGCATAAATTCTGTTGCACAAAGCCTTAAAAACTCGATGAAATTATCTGAAGCTATGACGCAGTCAAAACAAGCTGGTATTGTAAAAAGGTAGGTTCTGGCTTTCTGTTTTTTTTTTGTTCAAACATATTTTTGTTATGAACAATACGATGCATTTTCCAATGATATGTTTTTCTTTCGTTTCAGAATGAATAATCCGACATTCTGTAAAGAATATGAAAGCGTCCAAGAAAGTCTTCATTCATCATACCGATATTTACGCAGTTGGAAAATTGTTCTGAACAAAGTACATTCATAGATTTTCAAAGCATTAATTGGATAACCGAAAGCGATAAGCTATGCAAATGTCTAATAGTACTTACTTCTCTGTTTGTTTATTCTGTTTTTCTTTCAATCAATAAGAAACGCCGAAAACATAGAATATAATTTTGAAAGGTTTCGATTTCGGAGGGAAACACACAAACGATACAAAATGGTCTATTTATGAATGTTTTAAATGGGTCGCAGTGTATATAAAACTTCAAATGTACAAACCTAAATACTGCGATCAATTCCGCGTCATCACATATGGATTCACGCATACGGTAGATGTGGCATGAGATTTACTTACTATTATTTAATATTCTGGAAAGCAACATATAATTCAAAATTGTATTATTAATTTTTAAGTTATCTAATGTGCAATTTAAACATTTTGGCACCAAACAAGAAAAAAAATGACACAACAAACACCCTTTGGCACTCGAAAAATACATAACAAACCATCAATTTAAAGAAAAGAGTACAGAAATCTGAAAATATTCACATATTTAGAAATAAATAAAGGAGATTCATTTCGTTTATATAAATTGACGATGATTTAATCGTCTTTTTCCTGCCGATTAAGCATATGTATTTAACATTGTTAAATGTCAAGTGGTTTATCATTTTAATTTAAAGATTTTCAAATAAATTTAATCAGTATATGAAACACTTGAAATAATGTGACTCTTTTATTTAAACACCATCACTATGAACTTTATGACAATTCATAGAATGTCTTGACCACAATTCGTTCGAATAAAATTCAGTGACTAAGACATTCTTATGGTCGTTTCTATGATATGATTTGGGATAATTTCTTCTTTTCGTCGTTACATGCTGTTTTAATTGCTTATGAACACGGCCATCAACTCGAGGGGGAAACCACGGATTCTAATATGTGCTAATTTTTTCTAATATTTCTAGTAAAACGCCATATAACATGTACATTTGACATCTTTCTAATATGTTCTAGTTTTTCTAGTATCGAGTTCGTGGGTAACCCCAAGCATCAACTTCACTGTAAATGCTGCCTATGAAAGATGCGACTTTTTCATTCAAACGCCATTATTATGAATTTTATGTATTGCGTAAAGGGAAAACGATTCGAACAGAATGTCTTGACCACAATTCGTTCGAATAAACTTCTATGATTCGAATAACTGTAAAACTTCATATGGCTGTGGTTGATTCGTGTGACATATCAAAATGCAAAGTTTTCCACATAATGATGCGAACAACATTAAATGCGATTTATTAACTTATCAATATCGGTGATAAACTTATCCGTATTGTAATGTTCTTCAATCATCCTTCCTTCCGTAAACATAAAAGAGAAAACTTATTTGCATATTTATTATGATAAATAAAGAAGCGGTTGCCCATGAATATTTTAAATAGGTATTTCTTTGCAACATCAAACGCAGTTCGTGAGATGACGACAATATATACGCTGCAAATTGTCAATACTCTGATTTACACCAACATGCTGTACTGATTTCTCAATGTGAGTTCAATCATATGATTAGGTAATATGGATATCTTATTAAATAACATTTCACGTTTTCTATCAAAAAATGTTATAAACAAAAATTGCGCAGTTGACGTCAAAAGGATTTTTTTCGCAAACATTTTTTTTATTCAATATATTGATGATATGGAACATTATATTAATTTATCCCACCAAAAATATAGGTATAGTGGCAACTGGTAATTACTTAACATTCAGTGAAAAGATACATTCAGTGACAATTGAACAATAAGATTTTTTTTTTGAATGACCAAAGGACAAATAAAGTAATGGTTATTTGTCCCTTTGACCGTTTGTCAACGATGTAACGGTTTTGTTTTCATCTTTGAATGTGTATCTATCTGTTTTCATCAAAAGATGAAGTGGTCTGATGAGGCTGTTATACGGAAAATCGCGTGAGATGCGCGATGGAAAATGTACTATATAAGTCGGATTTTATGGTTTGGAGCTTTATTTCGTTCAGTGTTTCCGTTCAGTGTTGATCGTATGCTGAAAACAATTTGATTTACATCATTGCAAGTGAAACAAATATTTAATTTGTTTGTTCTTGGAATTTTTTTACCGTTTCAATAAAAGAAAGTCCAGTTTGCAAAAATGTCATCAAATATATTCAATCAAATTGTTGCTGTTGTGTTAATTTGCACATGTGAGTGACACATATTGTTTTGTGCAATTTTTACAAAGATCAGAATAAAAAGAGTAGAATGTTTCAACGAATATGTGACTTGTTGCTCCATATAAATTTCGAATCTTATACCATTGAACAACATTAGGAACTTTATTATGTTCATTCATGTTCGTTGAAACCAATATTAATAGAAAACTGCAATTATTATAATCAACTACTTTCTTACTTCAATCATTCAGTTTTTACAGCATACACTTACGCCGAAGGATTATCATGTAGTTCCTGCGGTGAAGAGTGCCTCGATGCATGTGGCACTCGATTTTTCCGGTATGATTTCATTTCAGTTATAATAAAATATTGGAAATTCCGAAAATAATTTAAAAAGGAATAATACCATAGCTTCTGTCCAGGGGTCCAAAGGATCCTAGAAAGTGGATTTACTGCATTGCAAATTAGATTTTTTTCGTTTCTTTCTTGTCTTCACTTTTGTCCAGTGATTGTTATAGTTATGATAGTATTTTTATACCTATACAATACATTAATCACTTCTATTGTTTTCACTCCATATCATCGCTTAACGTTATCCAGATGAGCAGAAATATTCTGATGACAAAATCCAAATATATTGTCTGCTTTTGTCTGAGACGAAGTTTAAACTAGATGTAATTTTTTTTTTTTTTTTTGAAAATGTGAAATTCATTCAATTTCATTGGAGTTTTCGCTAGGTTTTCCGAAGAAAAATCTTTCGAATTTTTGAAGTTTTTGGTAAAAGAAATGAAGACCTTTTTTGGTCCTATTTGGGTTTGGGAAACAAAATTTAAGCCAGATAAAATTAAGATTTTTCGACATTTTTTGAAAATATACACTCCTTAACATTGGATCACCAACTTCAGAATCTATGGCTAAATTTGAAATGTCTCATGCACTATAGTATATTTCGCGTCAGCGGGTCTAAATTTATCGTCTGAAATATGTTGAACATTTGTAGTATTTTGTTAAATTTTGTTGGTTTTTCTTCAGACAATATATTTGGATATTGTCATCCATATATTTCAGCTCATCTGGCTGATGTCAGGTGCTAAAATGGAGTGAAAACAATGGAAGTGTTCAAATTCATTGTCTCTTTTCCTTACACCTGAGAATTGTAGAGATTTTCGGAAATTTTCTAAATAATTTACAATTTGCTGAGATTTGGTTTATTTCCTTTCTTTTTGCAGTACATGCTGTTTTAATTACTTACGAAAGCGATCATCACCATCGTTGCAGCCGCAACCAATAAATGAGTACGAAGAAAATGGCATATGGCTTAACAAAGTTGAATTGGAAAAACTGATTCACAATGAACTAATGCACCAACAGAATCCCAATATTTTGAATCAAAAAGCACCGAAAAAGGATGATTTTCCAAAATCAGCATCGATTTCAAATCAACTCGGTCCCAACAACAACAATCACGATCAAATGCGTGTTATTTATGATATTTAATTTGATTTGTCCACTTTCTTTCATTCGATTTTTCTTTTCAGTGCCAATTTCATATGATTTTAATTTGAAATTACATATAGAGCATATTCTTGAACAGATACACTTTTTTATGACAACATTTTTCTGAATCAGAGTGTTAAACAAACAAATTACAATGAATGTGGGCAACGAAATATCTATATAACTATTGATTCATGACATATTCATCACAATCAAAAATAATTTTCCGCCATATTTTTCAATATTATTCAAAATTATAATAAATTGATTCACTCTAATTAATGGAATAAAATATAGAAAAAAATTAATTGTTTTTTCATTTCATAAAAGAAATAAATATCACATTTTACAGCTTTGTGATTGTGTTTCAAAATTGCGCGCACGATAGCAAACCATTGAACGCATCCGCTACGCCATCTATTTGGTTATAGATGTCAATGTCATAGAAGCCACAATACATCGAATGTTTTACTTATGCTTTGAATGAAATTCCATGCGATTCATTAGTTAATAGACACACATCACATTACATAGATTAGTTGTTGTATTAAATTAAAAAAAAAGTCAAAATAAACAGCAATTCAATTGAATGAAAGATGACTTCTGCATTTTTTACAAACGATGCGGAATGTTTTAGTCGTGACACTGAAAATCAGTTAGCCGTTGAAAGTTTGGACGAAATATGGAACGAGCATCGTTTAAGTGAATGTGTGAACTGGATAAATGAGCATCAATTCGAAAAAGTTTGCATTCAAATATTTCATAATCATTTTAAAATTGTAATTTATCAATTTTTTTTTTGTGGTCGGCCAAATCAAGGTTTGTCTACAATTTCCAGATGAATTGATTCCATTCAGCATTGCAATCATTGCACAATTAAAGAATAACTCATCCGCTCAACTGAGCATCCTCGGAGACACATCGTATGGCAGTTGTTGTGTAGATGAAGTAAGTTCCAAACCATGTTTTCTTATGCTACTTTCGACTGTTTTGGGTCAATGGTATTAATACGAAAAATGTTTCAGATAGCTTCCTCGCATGTGAGTGCAAATGCAATCATACACTTTGGTCACGCTTGCTTGAGTAAAGTGACACGTTTACCCGTACATTATGTGTTTTCAAATTTCAAACTTGATGCAGAGAAATTACGTCAAAGTTTTCACAATTACTTTGCAAATGTCAGCGACGAAATTGTCATTTTCTACTCAACAGGCCTCTTTTATCATTTGGGTTTGTTTCATATTTATTTATTTTTTTAATTTGGCTGCACATACTTATACGTTACATTTAATTTCCAGATGATATCAAATCAGCACTTGCTTCATACACAAATATTTCTTACGCAGAGTTAGCTATCGACGAACGGCCAGATAATTTATGTTGGAAACTGCCAAAGACTGATGTATCAAATGTTACCTGCGTTTGGATTGGAGATGACAATCAAACATTTTTCAATTTGAGTCTGACTGTTAATGGTATTTTTTTAATTACTATCTGTAGTCTCTGTCAAATGCTAATAAAACAATTAAAATTCAATTTTCAGCAAAACAATGGATATTATGTGATAGACATAATTATGAATTGAAAATCGTTCAGAGTCCATTGGCAACAAATTGGATGCGACGACGTAATTTCTTTGTGGAAAAATGCAAAGATGCTCAATCAATTGGAATTGTTGTGGGCACATTAACTGCTGATGGCTATTTGAATGCTGTTAATCGTGTTCAAAAATTGGCTCGTGATCGAGGCATTCGTACGTATCTACTATCCGTAGGCAAAATAAATCCGGCTAAATTGGCCAATTTTATGGAAATCGATTGTTTTGTGTTCGTTGGATGTCCGGAAAATAGCATTTACAATTCGCGTGATTTTTATAAGCCACTTTTATCTGTGTTTGAAGCAGAGCTTGCACTGAATTTTGCATGGCGCGAACAATATCCGAATTTCTATGCCGTAGATTTCACTGATATTTTACCCGATGGCAAACACTATAGAGCAGCTGAAAAACAATCGAACACCAACGGTGAAAATGACTATGATGTTAGTCTTGTTTCTGGACGCATAAGACCAATGAAAATCACGGACAATGACGAAACCAATCAGAACAATTCCACTGAAATTGAACGAAAGCACAATCAATTGATGAACACCAATTCAAGCAGCGCATTCAACAATCGATCATGGACTGGATTGGATCCAAGTTTGGGACAACATGAACCGGTTAAAGTTACTAAGGGAAGATCAGGAATTGCAATAAAGTATACTGAAAATGAACATGAATAGAAAATAGAAAAAATGGAAACATTATATTAGCTGTTATTGTTTACTTATACTCCGCATACGAACTCGAAAAGCACGAATTTCATTAAAAAAAAAATAAAGATTTTGCCAATAAACTTTCTTGTCTGAAGTGCTCTTCCATATTATATAAAAATTACATTTTATCTTACCAATAACGCTTCCAGCGATTCCACCGTAAAACGCTCCCATTAATGTTCCTAAAGGCGAAAAATATGATTCGAGTGATGCTCCAACTGCAGCACCATTTAGATAGTCACCGAAAGTGACGATTATAGTTTTACAGCCTCCGCGATACTTCATTTTAATTCTGCTCAGAAGCATTCATTCATTCTCTTTTGGTTTTTGATATTCATCACTTTGCTGATAATTCGGCTCGTCAATATGAGCCGTGCAACAGTAATAGATAGATGCTGATATTTCGTCACCAATGTCAAATATACACTGATAACACTACTGTTTCATTTAATTTATTTTCATGAGAATAAGTTTTGAAGTGAATTTTAGTAAACGCTTGGTATTCGGACTTCAAGAAATAAAATAAGTTAAAATTGATATATCAGTTGTTCTTATGGTTGAACACTTACCCAGAAAGAATTCTCCTTCGTTTTATTAAACAAGAATCTCAGGAGTAGCATAAGTTTCGATTTTAATTCGTTAAATTTTTAATTAATATGATGGATAATGTTTAATGCGACTGATAGTTTTGAACTGCTTGCTAAGATGCTAAGTGCCTAGTCTGTGTAATGTGACCGGAATTAAAAATCAAAATGTATCATGTAAAACAGAGAATACCGTTAGATGAATCCATGCGATGGAATTATCAAATATATTCGGAGACATTTGGTACTGAATTGCTCTCACCAACGTTATATAACATCTAAACGACTAAAATAGAAGTATCAATTTGGCGGCATCAAAATTAATGTGGTAAAGCGAATCGTTTTCGTATTCTCTGTTGTAAAAACTCCAAATTAATTTGAGTAAACAAAACATTGTCTGATACTACATACATTTATTGATCATCTCGGAAATTCTTTTTCAATGCCGTAATTTGCGGATTTTTACTGTAAAACCTCAATTTATGGACGCAGATCTGATACCTGTTTGTGTCTCCAATTCTCGAAAAAGTTTAATTTAAAATATTATTGATTTGCTCTCTCTCTCTCTCTCTTCATTCTGTTTTTTCATGGTGTTTCTAAATTCGTTCAAATAATCCAATATATTGCGCCATCTTTTTGTTCAATTTTTAATCGAACAAACTTTACATTACGCAATGCAATAAATTGTATTTAAGATACAGATAAGTATTCAAAGCTAAAAGTATTTTGAATTAAAGTAAAATTGACAGTGTCGCATGGAATCAATTGAAATCGTTTTGTTGATAACACAATTCGATCAGAGAAAATAGACTCTTCACAGACAAAATTCAAATTGATTTTTAATTTTGATTAGAACAAATGATAAATCGCATTATGGAAAGTGTTGACGTCAAATTGGGCATTAAGCATATTCTGGAACGTGTTGAACAATCGTATTTGAAACGAAGTCCGGTAAGATGAATCAACACTCTCTGTTTACGTTTACTGATAACATTAAATGAATTGCAAAAAATGTCGTCCAATCAGGGAAATCGATGCGCAAAACCAACATTGGTGGCGGTTAGTAAAACAAAGCCAATTGAGATGATCATTGATGCCTACTCGGCTGGTCAACGTCATTTTGGAGAAAATTATGTGAAAGAGCTGTGGGATAAGAGCACAAATGAATTGATCAATGTAAAATGCCCCGAAATACGTTGGCATTTTATTGGCCATTTGCAATCAAGTTCGGTGAATAAGGTAAAGTCTCTTCTGCGCTGAATATTTCTTCCAATTGAAATAAAGAACACCATTCTTATATTGTACACATTTTTCAGTTGCTAAAAGTCCCGCGCTTGGAAATGATAGAAACCGTTGACAGTCTCAAGTTGGCGAATGAATTGAATAAGAAATGGGGAAACATTTCGCCTAGCAAACCACTCAAGATTCTAGTTCAAGTGAACACGAGTCAAGAAGATGGTAATATATACATTTCTATGGTATACTATATACCTCATTTCTATTTAAATCTAATTTTTTGATTTTAGCTAAGAGTGGCGTTGAACCAAATACTGTCGTCGATTTGTACCGACACATCACTGAAAATTGTAAGCATTTGATTCCAGATGGGGTGATGACAATCGGTAAATTTGGCCACGATTATTCCACTGGACCAAATCCGGACTTTGTATGCCTCTTAGAATGTCACAAGAATATATGCGATACGTTTAATTTATCACCGGAAAATGTACAAATTTCGATGGGAATGTCGGACGATTTTGAACAAGCGGTAGGTTTGTAAAAAGAAAGTTGAATGGGCTTTAAATCTTGGTATTCAATCGATACAGGCGAAAATAGAGGCTTGAATGAATCATTTCAAGCTTTTTTTTGGTTATGAGACTTTAGAATGTTGATCTCAGATTTTCAAAGTATTCACTAAATATTCAACGCAAGTCACTATGCTAGTAAAATTTTGGTCACTTTTGAGAATTTTTTAGGGGCAATATTGAAATTTCAATGCCATAATTTGACATTTTTCTGCATTTTCACTCAAATTATGGATGACACACATTTTCTTTAAATTATAGTTTTATTGCAGTTCTACTGTTATCATACGTCCTCAAGGAAAAAATTTAAGGGGGGGGGGGGG